TGAGTAATAAATAGGGAAAACAATAGAGAATCTTGCAATGAAGAGTGTGTGTCATAAATTGAGGATAGTGGTTGACTCTTTCCCAGAGGAACAAAGGGAAGGAGGGAAGGAGAGACACAGACAAATAGACCCATGCACATTGCACATCCATAATTCCAACTGCTCAGGAGGCTGAAGCAGGATGATTGCAAGTTTGAGGCAGCCTGGGCAACTTGGTGAAAATAAAAACACAAGAAAAAAGCTGGGGATATAGCTCAGTAGTAAAGCACCACTGGTTTTCATTCCCAGTTATGCAAACCACTCACTCAGTCAATTAATTTAAAAAATAAATGACCCACTGTTCCACTGATTTTACTGACAGTTAAAACTGCAACATGCATTGTTATTTTACATGTCTCTGTGTTTTGATATGAATATGAATGAAAATAAATTGGTGAATCATACTGCAGGTACTCCTTTACAATCTAATTATGAAGACATACTAACTTATTCCTAAGATTCCTTCCAATTTTGAGACACTCCTTATGTCATCAAATGCAGTCTAATGATAAACTGACTTGGGTTCAGTATAATTCAAAACATTCTGTCAAATGCCCTTAGTGTGTTCAAAGAAAAATGCATCTGTATTTTAATTCTAGCAGTATTCATTTTGGCTTCTTATGCTGGAAATCATTTAAGTGTATTCAAACTATTTCATAAACTGTAGTTTATTCCAGGATAGTGTTGCATAAAACAAAAGTTGGCCCCCAAAGGAACCAGTGAAATTGAAACTTAGTCTAATCTATCAGAGAACTGTCACCTGTGATTGTGACTTAGTGCTTTTTGTTTTTGTTTTTTTTTTGTTTGTTTGTTTTTGTTTTTGGTTCCGGGACCTTGCTCATACTAAGAGTCTCCAAATCTAAGCTAATACTGTAATTTATCAGATTTTTTTTCATGAAAAAAATCCCACCTCCTTCGTATTAATGCATTACTTATGGTGATGGAGTGATATTAGCCCTTAAATAGAATCATTCTTTCCAGAAGGAAGAGAAACAACATCCCAGAGATAATTGGAGATAATTTAATTATGCATCTGTATTAAATTCCATGTTTAAAAAATATTTTCAGCTGCCTGCCGTTTATCCTTACCAGGCTACCCAAAAAATTCAGAACAGTAGGTTAAGTTGCCCTTAGGAGGAGCAGGTAGATAAAACTATACTTGACATCTAGAAAGTCACTTTCCTAAAACCTAGTAAACCCCTTGTGAAATCGTAGTGTAGTCAAGGGTGGAACCACGCATGCATGGTTCTTTTACCCAGAGTTCTGTTTTCTCCAGATCTACGGAATCAGACACAAGAAGGGGGAAGGGGCATCTCAGTTCTTGGTAGAAGTGTATAAAAGGCCTTGCCATTTACTTCTAAGAGTAGGAAGGCTGGACTTTATGCTGCTCTCTACCATTTTCTAGCACCAAGCCCTCCCTCACATCATTGCCCTTTTTCCTGTAAAATAAAGATACTTGCCTGCCCTGTGTCACACGTAGTTTAATTAAATGAGGTATTGCTTGTCACCATCAGCAGTCTCTAAAGTGCTTTGGAAATGGAATAACTCCATTCACTGAGAGTGAAGAGCCTGCACAGCCTGGACAAGTTTCCAATGTGCTGTTCCTGAGCCTAAGGGGTCAGGCCCATATTTCTCAGTCATCTCAGTTTGAAAATGCTGTCAAAGTAGATCACAGAGTACCAGATAGGAGAGGAAAGAAAAACGACAGAGCAGAAAGGGGACAGACACTCCCTTTCGCCCACTCGGCTCCATTCAGCACACTGACTTCATTCAGCAGTTCTTCCCTGCTTTGTATGCAAAGAGAAGCTCTCGTGATAATGTGGCTGAACAGTGTAGTATAAACACTCATTTAAAAATACATCCAGATGCAGTGGGCTGCAGTCATCTGACAGGGCCCTCGCTTGCTCTTCAGAAATGCAGTTCGTTTGTATTCCATTAATTCATGGTCCTTGGTAATTTCTCTAGGGTAATTCTTCATCTTACTTTGTTTTATCTATGAAGAAGGGGCCCACAGAGCAAATGAAGAATGTAAACATGTTTACTAGGAAACACGTTAACCGGCTTGAGAGGAATATCTGCTTTCAAATGCCTTCTTTGCATGTATTTGCATCCTAACTATGTACTGAATGGTTTTAGCCATTAAAATAGTCCTAGGAGGATTGTTACTTAGTAATATTTTATTAGCATTCAATTTGAATTCCTCCAATAAAACTGTATTTCTTTAAAACTCATCCATAATTCAATATTGTCGCACATGTCTTCCCACAGTATTTGTTGTAAGGTATTACTGTAATTAGTTATATGCCCCTAAGTCCCTTGGGCTTTGTCTGATACAGTTACATCTGTTTGAATAAGATTTTCATTTTCCTTTCAGTTTCTTAAGATGAAAATTCCTGATACTTTTAGCATCATTGAAGTTGGATGCAGAGAAGAGTTGCCCATACACAACCAACTAAAGAGTATATTTCATTATTTCCACAATACCAGACTGGTGCAAGATACAGGCCAACTGCTTCTCCCCGAAAACTTGGTTAGATTTCTGTAATTGCCTAAACTAAGCTTTATTCATAAAACAACTTCTGTCTGGTGCTCTACCTGTAGTGAAACCTGAGGGATGTCTACGTGTGTCTCTGTTAGGTTTTTCCCTTTGTTTCAGATAGAGTATTTTTTACTCTGTATTAGATAGAAACTTTAAGAGTGTTTGTTATACTGAGAGAGCACTACTTGTGTTCATCCCACCCACTCATCTACCATCTTTTAGATGCTGGGTGAGGTGGGCACCTGATGTGGGCTTGCTGGGCTTAGAGAAGAAAGGAAGCCCCTGTATACCTCCCATTTAGCATACAAGCCACTTAAGTTAATTGAGGCAGTCTTGTGTTCCACAGTCCTTCAAGTTGCTTGTGTACTTCCTGGCCCAGCCATTCTCTTGTGGTTGTTTTATGCCTGATTAGGCCACTAATTAAATAAGAACAGGCACGATGGGCATAGCTGATCCTTGCATTATGTTTGTTTCTAAATTTTTATGTTATATTTGGATCCTACAACAGCTAGAGTCTTTCTAGTACTAGGAACCCACAGTTCTTAGTAAATAAAGTAGCTCTGTATTCAATGTAATTGCTAATATTTTTTTGTATATTTGCTCTGTTGCTGCCAGGCACTCTTCTAAGAAAATTTTATGTTATTTCATTTAGAGAATTCAAAATAAGCACCAAGTCTCAGTTTATTTTCTGTTCCTGTGTTGAATTAGTGTCTGTGATTTGGCCTTAATAGCTCTGGAGCGAGAGGTCAGATCTCCAACCATAGGGTGAGTACTAATTGGGAAATAAATTACAAATTTGCTGTATCGAAAAGGGGAAAACTTCTACAAATTTATGTGTCATTTTGATTCGTTTTTTTCATCTTTTGTAGTACATTTTTAAGATCTCAAAGAAGCTCCTCTCTCTGAAGAAGCTCCCGGAGGCAGTTTGTTTTACATATGATGGAAATGGAGAGAGAGTTTCTTTTGACAGAAAGCTTCATTTCTTGTTAGTGCAAGCCGTCACAACAGTCATTATGTCTAGTTTTCAGAGATTTCCTGCAGTTAGGAGAACAATGGGTAGTTTAAATGGCAGAGTCAGGAGCATTCTGGGGATTTATGATGAGCAATGAGGAAAATTTTATTTCTGGATTTTTAAAGGAAAAGGTAGGAGGAATATTTGGGAGGTTGAGAGTAATGTTTCATTTTTAAAATAGACTGTTATTTCTAACCTTTGGAAGTTGAAAAAAATTATTTTATTCCATAGTTCCCATTATCTTGTTATTGACTTGATAATAACTTGTGACAGTTTCTCTTGAGGTCTCTCTCTGCATGCTAAGTAGTACCCTCCAAAGACACATTTATACCTTTCTTTTTCTTTAACCAACATCACTTGGAATTCTTTAATCCAGTTTATTGGTGGTTTCCATATACAAAGGGGTATGTACAGAGCTTTGGGGGGTTAGGGTGTCTAATTTAGTAGCGGGCTTTATTTCTCTGCTTCCTCCTCTTAAAAAATGACTCAGGCATTAGGGAGAAATGTTTAGTTTAGCTTATTTGTTGTATATGTGTTTGTTTAGCTCCAAACTTTTTATCTTAATTTATATAGACCTATTATGATTTTTAAATTTCTAATAGAGTTTTGATATAGTCATGGTGTCCAACACATTAAAGCACAGTTTATGTGAGCTGTTCTTTCTGCTTGTGTAGCTTCTCACTTGCTATGGGTGTTGCCTGTGGTTTTAGAAACCACTGTACTGGTTATATAGGGTCACCTGAATGACAGTCATCACCCTTCTATATTTATGTTTTGAAACTATTGATACAAAAACAAATAAGAATTATTAACATGTTTTTAAAGAATGAATAACATGTTTTGAAAATTAATCAAATTCTTAAAAAAGCTATAAAGTAAAAAATAAGAATATTGCTTCCTAGTCATATTCCTAAATATCATTCATTACAGGTAGCCACTGTTAAAGTTTCTGTGTATCTACCAGAAATGAGCTCATGTTCTATTCATATACAAGTACACACATGTGTGTACATATGCACCACATATCTACGCTTATGTAAATGTACATATGGATACTTATGTAGAGTCTGATGTGCAGTATATTTTCTTAGCAATACATCTTGGACATCTGCCTTCATTTTGTGTGGCTATCTAGTATTCCTTTTTATTTGCCTGCTACAGTTTAATGCCTCTACAATTATCAACATTTAGGTGTTTCTCGTTTTATTCTGTTGCAAATAGTGTTGCAATAAACATCTTTAGGCATGCATTTTTACAGTTTTGTAAATTTATTTATAGGAAACAAAGAGAAAAAATAAAGGAATGTAGGAATTACTGGTGACTGTATGCATCTTTAGCATCCCTAAATTTGACACCAACTTGGCCTTTTAAATAACTGTACCAATTTATAAGAATGTCATGTCTTCCCACACCCTTGTCAACACTGAGTATAACAAAAATTTAATTTGTAAATATAATAGGTAAAAAAGTATCAGAAATGTTTATTTACATTATCAGTTATAGTTGTATTAAAGTTCCTTTCCATGAGTGCTTACTGACCACTTACTGTGTATCATCATTAGAACATGATATATGACTAAAAATTGTCCTTGTCCTTTAAAAGCCATAGAAGTCACTAAGAAGCATTGGGGGAGGGGGAAGCTGGAATTTGAAGGTTGAAAGTCACAGAACAGTGGGTCTTTTTCTCTCTACAGGTGGAAGTGGTTGTCTCACAAGAATGGATGGTGTGCACTAACATTTCTGGATTCTCTTCCTGGCCTATAATGGCAACTCTGTCCCAAAACAGTGACCTTACTTTCCTTATGGAAGACAGTTGGATACAGCTAGTGGTAGAATTTCTTATCCAGTAGCTTCTGTTTTTTTCTAGTACCTGACTTGATTATTTCCTCAGTTGTTTTCAGAGCAAGCACTCACCTTTGGCTTCTATTCTAAAAGGACCAGGCATGCATGGAATCTTTCAGCAGAGCACCCCAATAACCTGTTAAACTGTTTGTTCATTGTTTACAGCTGTCTCTACCTGTACAGATTTTCAGCAAAAGCCCTTCATCTTAGAGCACTCAAATTAGATTAGAAACACTTTGAGTGTTTCTTTAGAACTTACTGTGGGAATAAAAATGTGTACTATGTTGGTTCTTGTTACCAAAATAAACTACGTGAATGAAGTACAATCAGTAAATAGAAATATGTTTGCAGAATGTTACATAAAAATGGAAAGGTCTGAAATATACAGAATAACGGATAGATAAGCCCAGCTTCTTGAATGAATCTAACTATTGATAATTTGACCCCTTACTATAGCTGAGACTTTCTAAAAACTGGAGTCCCCTTGGAAACAGTCCATGGTGAACCCCTCAGAACGGTCTTTTTTCAAGCTATTGCCTTGAGCACGTGGACATTCTTTCACCTGGGAGCCAGAGGAGGCTGCACTTTGCCCAGTACTGTGTGTGCTCCAGCCAGAGCCCAGGAGGCTAATTGGGCAGCTGTCCTTTCCAGCGCTAGCCAACCAACTCCCGAAGGGTTGTCAGAGATAAAAGAAAAAAGCCAACCAGCTTTCAAGGGACCAGAACAGACTACTAGTTGCTAAGCAAGTTAAAGTAATTCAGTATCCTTGCCAAGTGTCTGCCACACAAACAGGGAACTAACTCACAGGGAAGACGAGTGAGATAGTGGTGCATGTTGGTTGCCATAGGAATATTTCCCTGATTGGAACAAGACCAAAGCGGGAGAGCAAGACAGCAGCATCCCCAGCTCTTTCTGCTGGGGAATGGGAGTCCAGAGTGGGTGGTGGAGAGGAGGAGGTAAGCCACAGGGAGGAACAAACAAAGCCAAGGTGCTGTGGGGGCATGGGCGGGAAAAGGGCAGTGCATCATGTGAAAGGTGAGCAGCAAGAGCAGATGAGAGCCTGAATACCATGTGAATTTAACAACAGGAAGAGAAGAATGATTAGATTAACTCAGGAAAATTACATGAGGAGCTTTCTGCTACTCTGAAGACCTGAGACTTGGAGAATGTACAATCCAAATTTCAGTTAGACTCTGGAATAAACCCAGATTTAAAATAGAGACTTAGAATCATGCAATTTAGTGGGAAATTTTAATTTAAAAATAGATATTCTGTATGTATGTAAATACTATGTCAGGTTATGTCTTTATTTTAGTTCATGAAGCAAAGGTAAAAATTAAAGATTTGTTCATGAGTTATTTTACTGTATTTGTTGAATTCTGATTTATAAGGGAAAAGGCACGTTATCTAAATAGGTGCTACTGGCGTGAAGCCTGACAGATATGCTGAAGTGAGCTTACGGCTGCATTAACGAGCACCTTGTGTATCTGATGATAGTTTCCAAAATGATCACGTACGGTCTGAGTGGAAATAGTGACTTTCAGCAAATGCCACACCTTCAATGTGTTGTTTGCCTCCTCTGTACTCACTCACCCAGCTCTGAAAATGGGGGATAGCTGTCCCTTCCAGCTGGAATGTGAGCAGAACGCTGGGTTCACTTCATGCTTTCTGGGGAGTGGTGTAAGATCCCTCAGTACAGGCGATGATGGTGACTGGCTTCATTCTCTGTCAGTACGGTTTACATCAAAGGTTTGCAGTTTTCTCAGGCCACATTCATTAGAGGGACTTTTTTCAACTTCATGAAGTTTTACTTGTACATGTGAAGATGTATATAAATTTATTACCATTTGGCCACATATTCAATTCATGTTCAAAATAGTTTCTTCTTTGGAATGTAGTACAGAATTGAGATTATTTAACATTGTTTTTGGGATCATGTAAAAGAAGACCAAAGGGATATGATATTTACTCTTGAATATTTGAATTCTAATCATACATACATAAAAGGCATGCCTGGAACATAGATAAGAGGTTACTGTGTTTTGTTTCAGGATTCTGTCAGTTTCACTGGTCTGCAACTTTGGTTAGAAGTGCTCAGATGCCTGCTGATTGACTTTAATCTAGGCTGAATTGTAAACCAAATGTCAAATTTCAGTTTATTGGGAGAGTGTAATTGAATATGAAAGACCAACCTTGTGCTCTTTAGATGGTGCACTATAGTATGATTTTGCCAAAGAAACTGAAATACTTACTTATAATTTGTTTAAAAGGGAGCTAATATACTCAGGTATGATTTTGCCAAAGAAGCCAAAATAGATACCAATAAAAATGTAAAGTGAATGAGTCTATTTCTGAAATTTAACTTTAAGCAGACTTTATTATTTAAAATGAAATTTAGTTCCTTAATCGTACTAACAAGTGGCTACCTTGTTGGATAACAGAGAGAGGACTTAGCTCCACAGAAGCTCCACTTCTGTTTTCATTGCTACACATCTCAAACAGGGCAATATAATGTAGAGAGAATCCTATTTTCTGCATGTGAAACTGTTATATGATATTAGGAACCTCCAAAAGATATAAGGGAAATGTTATATAATTCCCAACCTGCTAGGTGTGCTGAGTTCTTGTCCTCCAAAATCAAAGAGTGAATTTCGAGGAACAGTGGTGGAGAGTAGGAAATTTTATTGAAGGAAAGCTCTTGTTTGAGAGGGACAAGAGGGAACCCAGAGAGTAGATTGCTCATGAGCCTACTTCTCAAAGGAAGTTTTATAGAGAAAAATCATGAGGTAGATACGAAATCACGAGGTGGATGTAAGGTGGGATAAAACTGTGGGCAACCAATAAGATTGCAGGTATAGTCACTTAAGTAATAATGATCCAATGTATAGCAAGTGTACATGGAAAGAAAAAGGACTTTTCCTGGAGGGAATAGGTCAAGTCATGGTCCCCTACCTGGGTTACTGATGCCTATTTAAAACATCAACTATTACTGTTTATCCTCAGGAAGATACGTAGTCATAATCATTCCATTGTTGTTCTGAGGCCTGTCCTTCAATGAATGTACCTCCACCCACAGCTGTAATGCATTCTTACCTTCTGCACTGACTCCTTGGAGAGCTTAAACCTGTCTGCCTATAATATTTCTGCCTAACTTAGCTGTCTATAACAGGAGTAGAGGCAGAGTTTACACTCTTTATAAGGAAGTTTCTGTTCAAGCTGTGTTAGAACCTGCCTGGCAAGGAGCTATCTGGACCCTACTTTCTGCACCCTTGTTCCCCAATACATCCTTCATTGTTTCCCAACACAAAAACATGCCAACATTTCACCTCCGCCTGTCCTCTCTGCTGGGCTGCCTCATTTCCATGACAGTAGTATATTTCCTGGTTGTTGGACCTCTTTATCATTCTCATTGTTTTAGTTTCCACATTTGGCTGTAATTTCTTTTTTATTCTAGTGCACCATTCAAGTGTTTGCATTTCAGTTTAGTGCTAAATGGAAGACCTTTATCGAGGTCAGTGTGGTTGATTTAAGTGAGTTAAAATAAGAAAAATATCATCCTTTACCCACTGTTCCAGATTTGTATAATGTCTCATGTGCCTTTTATCTATGGAAGTATCTCTCTTTGGGGAAATCAGGGCTCTTCAACATAATCACTATGTGGTCAGTGAGACCTATGAAACTTAAAGGCCTTCTTTGGTTCTCAGACAGGAGGAGTTAAAAAGAACTCACCTCAGCAGGGTAGGTAGGTAGAATTTTTGACTCATATCTTGCTTGGCACATGTGGCACATAAGATAAAAGTGACTCTGTCATCATTAGGTTGTAAAGCATAGAAGTCTGTCATTTCCTGTTGGGCATTTGCCACTTGTAAGGGGCAGCATCAGTGATAGGGTTAGAATTTATCCTTCAGGTCCTGGTATGTATCAAGCAAAAAGCATTTAGAGAGCTCTTGCAAATCCAAAGAAAGAGAGCCTCAGCCTCAGCATAGGCTCTTGTCCAAGACACTGTTGTCAAAGAAGAAAGCTTAGAAATTGGAAAATAGATGTGAGACTATGAAACTGTTTTAAATTAACAGGAATGCATATCCCACCTCTTTCTCAGTACCATCAGAGTCAGTTCATTTTAGACTCAGCTAAGTATGGTGGAATGAGTATCAGTGACAACTTGGATACTAATCCTTAGTTTAAACACTGCAAGAGCTGTGACCTAAGGAGGGCCATTGAATTGCTCTGGCCCTCATGTCTCATCTATCAAGTGAGAGCATTAGACCAGGTGATCTCAGAGCATCTTAGTTATCACAGATGAAAGCCTATAGATGCCACTTGCTAAGATCTTATAGCAAGAGGGCGGCAGAACTCTGGGTCTCATAGTGTCCTACTTTGTCCCTCCAAAAACCTTCACTATACTCTCAGAGGCTGAGCTGGAACAATACAAAAATACCAGAAGGATGACTGGTTCTTCCTTCTTTCTACAGTGTCCTTTGTTTCATTTGTTCATATTTTGAGGTTGGAAGCCAAACCTCTGAAAATTGTAGGTAGCCTGTTTTGTTTGTTTTGTTCCCTCTCTTTGATATAACTGTTCAAAACCCAGCTCTGTGGCATAAATGACCTATAAATGAAGACAAATAAAAACTCATTCATTGCTGATTAAGATTCATGTTAAATAAGGAAAAGGCCATAGTGAGATTGCAGTGTTAAATTTTCTCAAACATTTTTCATTAGAACAACTGAAGCGAACAGAACAAAACAAACCAGAGAGTCCTGATAGATGCTTCTGTTGAAATTCCAAGTGTAGATTAGAGGCTCACTTTCCAGTGCTAGAGTATCACTCAGACAGGAACCCAAGCCTGACTTCCTTCAGAAGGCTTCTTTCAGCTGGGCAAACTGTGCCCTCACCATCCTTCAGCCTACCATTCTGCTAAAAACTGAGAGTGTCAAGAAATAGAATCCTGCCGATTGCCTAAGTGTGCTAGATATTTTAGGCACAGTGGCTCGTTTAATGCTGTAGCCACTTTTCAAGGCAGAGGAGTATTATTTCCATTTTGTAAATTCATGAAAATATTTGGCAAAGTTATGTAATTTGATTAGGATCACACAGTAAGTAAGGAGAAATTACTTAGCTGTAAAAGTCTGGTTACTTTATCCTAAAATTGGATAGCAGATGAGTATCAAATACACAGTCTATCAAGTATGTAGAACCTGGTGTTATTCTTTTGGTTTGGAAAGCACCTGATCAAATACTATAGGTCCCAACATAACTTCCATATATCAAAATGAAAGGTAGATACAGTAATTGAGTGAAGTTCATTGATATGCAGAGGCTGTTAACCCACATCTCAGAATCCTTTGATGATATAAAACAAAAATACTGGAAAAAATTTTTGCAGATAGAATATTTATAAACTTACTTATCAATTGGCATTGTTGGTCAGTTGCAAAAGGTATATAAATCCTAAAAGGAGTTTAACTTTCCAAGGCGATGTTTGCTCTTTTTTTTTTTTTTGTCTTTTTCGTTTTTATGGGTACCAGGGATCGAACTCACGACTGCCTGCTTGCAAGGCAGGCGCTTATGCCGCTGAGCTAAATCCCCAGCCCCGATGTTTGCTCTTTTTAAGAAGCCATGCTGTGTGAACTGGTGGTTTTCAACCATTTGTGCTTTGGACAGATAAGGGTATGACACTGGCATTCAGCATCCTTGCTATAGTTCCAGCAACTATTCTAAATATCCAGTGCAGCAAATCAAACCACTCCCAACACTTAATGTCGTAAAGCAACAGCCATGTTTACATCTGGCTCGGGATAGGCAAGGAGAGCTTGTATCTGCTCCCCGGGCCTTAGCTGGGTTGGTTGAGAGGCTAGAGGCCACATCAATGAAGCTAGCCCACTGTGTGTGGGCTAGAGCCTAAGCTGGGGAGATTAGAGCAGCTGACTCCTCAGGATCCCTGTCTTTGTTGTCTTT